CCGGTTTTAGCTTTACATGTGATTTGAGTGACAACATTGCTGCGCCCTGGCCATCATCGTCATCTTCAATTACATCTTTGTCACTCTGTGCTCCCGGTATGTTTTTGGAGAAAATTACTGTCTTCATCATTGCATACCTTTTCTTTTATTCAAGGATGCTGATATTACAAAATACTGTTTGCGTTTGCTTAACTATTGTCCCTATCCATTTTGGCAGAGATGTCATTACCAGCTCTCCCAACTTCACAAACATTAAAAAATAATGGTAAGTCCCATTTTGAAATTTATTTTATATATTAATACTGATCCGGCTTTTACTTCAACGAATATAATACACATCTTTAAAGATTCACGTTTTCTTGCACAGTGCACACCCTAGTTTTACTCCTATGATATGATTAGAATTTTTTTTGGCCTGTCTCAAATTCATCGTGGTCAAATTGTTGCAGAGCCAAATTTTGACATTATGAACATGGTGGATTTTGCAGGTTGTAATTCCGGTGGCGTTGGATTGCTTTTGCTTATTTTTTCATTTTTCATCTTCAGTACGCTGTTGTGTTGAAGAGATTTTAGGGTTTAGAAGTGTTTCAGGAAGGCAGTTCAATGTGTCTTTGGTGTGGCTTTTGCATGTATATTTTTGAATGGCCTCATTGTATAGAAATCGCCCTTTCTCTCCACATTTCCTCGTGTCTTCCTGCTTGTATGTTCTGAGCAGATCATTCCGGAGTTAGTGCTCATTTGATTTAGGATCCATAATTGTGCTGTGAAGGGTTCGATTATATTTTTTTTTTGCTGAATTGCTGACAAGCAGATGCTAGATTACCGCTAAAGTTTACTATGGCAGCATCAGGGACTGACTAACACTGATTTGGAAAAGGGGTTATGGAACATACTGACTTGGATGATGTTTCCATGCCAATGGTATGCCCCATTCGGAACTGACAAAGTTGACTTTGACCATCCATAAGTATCTGACTGATCATTAGACATTTAGATGTGATTAGAGTTTACTAAATCATTGGAAGCGTCCGGAGTTTAACTGGAGAGTATCTCTTCATGGTAAAACTTTCAGGATATTGGGTGTTAAAACCTGTTAAAAAAAGTGCTATATTTGCTCCAAGCTAATACATACCAAATGCTTAATTCGCAGAATAGCATATTTTAATTCGTATTTTGAAAATAAAAATGCATAAATGACATGAAAATGCTTATAATTTTGTGTGTGGATATTATTATCTAGATGTAATGTTCAGTGACACCAGTTTTTTGAAACGTCAAGATAGTTTTAAGTTATTTATTCTGTGACATAAAATCCAAACTATATAAACCCGTATCAGCATATTTGTCAAGAAAACGTTTTATACGATGGGATATTTAGAAATTTTACAATTAATTGAATCAGAAACTGGACGAAGAATGTTTAAAAGAATAATAGTAATATTGTTGCAGGGCATAAGTCGGTGAAAATGCAGAAGGTAAATGAAAATAAATTAGATTTGGCTGAAGAGAAATAAATGTAATTGAAAAAAGAAATATAATTAAAAGATACCTGTGTTCTTTATTTTCATTCTAATACATAGTTTAACTCTTATCATATTACAACGATTTTCTCATTACGATTATTTAATTTTTATAATTTTAGCATGGATAATAGCAATTTTTAGAACTGTAAAAACTATTTGATTGCAAGAAAATGGCTTTTTGTGGTAGACCTAAAAACAAAATGGAAATAATTTACTATATTTTATTAAATTAGGTTTGAAAAATAAAAAATCCATAGGTCTATGTTATGTACTGTTCTTCGATTTGACTCGACTTAAATAAGAGCCAAAAGAAAATGACATAAGAAATGAATTAATATATTAATTTGATTATGGATCTGGTGTAGGATTCAGATGAAGAAAGTTAAATTGCAAATATATTTCTGAAACAGTACATAGCGTTTGTAGTCCAACGGTTAGGATAATTGCCTTCCAAGCAATAGACCCGGGTTCGACTCCCGGCAAACGCATTTTTATTTTATTAACTATACTTTTTAATTCATTTAGATGAATAAAATTATTAGTTAAATTATTGTTTTATTTTTCAATTCCCAAAATGTGCGTTTGTAGTCCAACGGTTAGGATAATTGCCTTCCAAGCAATAGACCCGGGTTCGACTCCCGGCAAACGCAGTTTTGTTTTATTCAATGTTTAATTTTTTGGACCATACATGGTATGGTACTGTTAAAACTTACTAGAAGATTACTTAATCTTAAAACCTTAATATACTTTAATTTTACTGACTGGCATGGTTATTCTGTGTCTTTTTGGAGGTTTGAAATCCAATCTAATCCTCTTGTATCCATCTCACAGCTCTAAAATGGCAAATGCTTTGAGAGTTGGTTGTGTTATCTCTCTCTGCTCCTTGCGGAATACCACACCCCATCTTCCCCTTCTCTCCAACGCCACGCGCTTCCGTTCCAAGTTCCCGTTTTTCACCCTCTCATCGTCGCAAAACTCATTTGGGTCTCCTTCATTTCGAACACTCTCTTCTTCTTCCATTGATGAAGCAGTAACCACCGAAGCCATCACGGGGAATGCAAGTGGTGAAGCTGAGAGCAGTATTAGGGACTCCGCGGGGCTGCTTGACATAAGGGTTGGACGCATTCTGAGGGCATGGAAACACGATGAAGCTGATTCCCTGTATGTTGAAGAGGTTGATATCGGTGAGCCTGAACCCAGAATCATATGCAGTGGCCTTGTCAAGTACATCCCTATTGAACACCTTCAGGTATTGATGATTTGTAGTCAATTTTGATGTGGGTTTTGATTTGGAATATTTAATCCTTGAGTTTTAGTCTTTCTCTGCTGAAAAACACTGTACAAAGTATCACCGATCTCAATTTTTTGTGGAATTTAAGCATATTCAGACATATTCTGTATGTTGATATTCTTAGTATTAGCTTAAGGTTTATACTATCTTGCAGCTAGCTTTCCTACATGTGTGAGGGAGCAACGAAGTGTAAACACCCTAAAAAGGTTGTTGCATTTGGGCATGTATCCTTTCTAGATACCCCTCAAACAACCATTTAATACCCTAATCTGCATCCTATCATTCTTTTACTTGAAAAAAAGAAGCATCAATGTTTTTATGTTAATTTAATGTGTATTTTTTCTGTTAACTTTATATACGTATGTCGTATCCTATAATTGGAATTACCGTATTTATCGCATCCTTGTTTTATCATATTCATGTATTATGCTGTATCCATATCCATGGTTCCTAGGTCGGGGGCTTCCACAAGAGTAGAGAGGGAAATTATACTAGGATAATATTTTTTTAGATGATTTTGACATAATGAGATTTGTTAAAGGGAAGTATATTTGTGTGGAAGCAAATTATTTGAATGATTGTATAAAATTTTAGACTGTCATATGTCACTACAGAATTAGTTCAGATTATCCTCTCTTGATAGTTAGTTAATGTGGTTTCAACTTTCAAATCAAAACTTCTATTCATTTGGATAATCCTTGTAGTGGAAGAAACAGTGATTTCTATTGACTGCTCTCTGTGCACCACTTGTACAGTGTGTATTCTACGAGCAACACACTTTATGTTGGGTAAATAATGTAGAAAAACTTATGATTGGTTGAATAGTTACTTCTCTGTGTGTGCATGGCAACAGTGCAGAAGTGGATTTGAGGCTGGAATTGGCATCATATTGTTGTTTTTTCTGTACAAATACAAGTATATAATAGTTAACTAATCGTATGGTACATGCAGGGCAAAAAGGTTATTGTCCTTTCCAACCTGAAGCCAAGAAATATGCGTGGTGTCAAGTCCTGCGGAATGCTGATGGCGGCTTCTGATGCAAAGCATGAGAATGTTGAACTTCTGTTCCCTCCTGAGGAAGCAGCTCCTGGTGAAAGAATATGGTTTGGAACTGAAGATGAAAAAGATAATCAACCTGCTGCTGCCACTCCGAATCAGGTAATAGCTCTTTCTTAATAACAATTATTAATATGACTGCCTAGTTGAATAAGGAAGTTCTGGAATTTAGATGATCTATATGTTTTATAAATAAGGCCAAGTGACATTTTAAACCAGTCAGTTTTGTAGTTATATGGGATAAAATATAGTTAATGTGTGTAATTATAATTGTCTCAGGCACAAGGTTTTCATTACAGCTATGGACTGAAAAAACCATAGTTCAGGTGGTATTTTTCAATGAAGTATAGTAGACTCTTGAACTAAACCACTTTAATTATATATGTTAAGATAAACACACTTTAATGAGTAGGGAAAAAGTTTATTGGTTAAATACAGTGTAGGGAAGAAGTTCAGCACCTGAACTTAGAAAATTGAAGACTTATTTATCTGCGGAAGAATTAGAGAACTTAGAAGCATAATGTTAGTTATTTTTCTCATAAGTAATTTCAAGAGAAATGCTGGTTGATGGTTTGTGTCCATCCTGTCTCTTTTTTTTCCTATCTGGGTCTTATTCTTCTTCTTCTTCTTCTGTGACAACGCACAGATACAAAAGAAAAAGATATGGGAATTGGTGCAACCTCATCTCAAGACAGATGTTTCTTGCATTGCGATGCTAGGGGAGCATGTCATGCGTACATCTGTAGGTTCAGTAGCATGCCAGTCCTTGCAGAATGCAAATATCTCCTGATCAGCCAACACCTATCAGTACGCAATTGTTCTGCTTAACAATGAATTTTTTGGTTTATAAATTGTTGTTTATTTTATATGTACTTCATTTTCTTTAATAGTTCTAGTTTATATTTTAGCATTTTCACTTGGACATAATTATTTCAAATACAGTAGTTTTAAGCAATACTAATAATAAATATCAGTTGTTTTTTGGGGGGCTAATTTCTTGAGGGTCACAAGCAAATTTGTCGGCCAATTTGTAAGTACTAGGATAGGTGAGTAACTTCCTATTAAACGTAATTTAGCTAGTTCGAAATAACCTAGGCTTTAAAGGGAGGACTGATCTGTTTTTGTTTGATCCAGACCCACCTCCAGGTCATGATGATTCTCATTATTCACGCTTCATTCATCTTCGTCTAATGAAAGGGATTTTCTGCAGGTCGATGTAATCATAATTTGGCTTCTGCTATCCGAAGCTTGCCCCTGGGATATAATTGTCTGGGAATATTGCATTCGGTCAATACTAGCAGGGGCTTAAAATAATGGAGTTTGTCTCTTTCTCATTTCTTCCAGTAGCTCTTTGCTAGAATCAATACCTGTCATGCATTCACGTCCACAAGTAGGACCTTTACGTCATTGCCACTAAAGTTACCAATAATCTGTTTAGGGAAGCAAACTTACACAAGTTAATGCTCACCTGCGAGGTATGCACCATGCACGTAGCCACTAAATCTGTCACTCGTGTGTTCTCCAGTAAAGAAAATGCGACCTACTGGAGCCTGAATCATAACCCCAAAAATTAAACACAACGGAAAATGATTTTGAAAATATAAATATTTCCTGTAGGAATGAACACGACTAAATGTTACAGAACATATCAAGGGGCACAAAAGAAAACCAAAATACAGGCCAGCAGTCCGTCCCAATAGGAGAAAAACACAATAGGTAATATTGGAACACCAAATTCAAAACTTAAAATGTGGTTACTAGTGTAGTTTTTCGTGATTGATTATTGCAATTTGGTAACATATTCATACGACCAGTAGGTTATCAGAAGAAAAAGATACAGAAAAAATGGTCACTTTACAATTGGATGTTTAGTAATTCTAGAACATGCTTCAGGAAGGAAAACTACGTATGTTGCTCTACTCCCTGCCCTGCTCGCTCTTTTTTTACCCTTTGTTTGGGAGGTATTTCGCAAGTGAAATCCTAGAATAATTCACAGAAAAATAAATGCTCTAGAATTTTATTTTTTGTGTCCGCTTTAACACTTCGTTAAGCTAATACGGTAAACTTTCGCATTTGTATTAAATACGATTTTCGCAGTAGTTAAAAGCAAAGTCAAGAAATACGACTTCTTTCACGTGTTTTCAAGTCTGACTTTAGCTATGTAGATGAGTATTTTAAAATCTAGCAATTTCAGTAATTTTCGTAACAGTCAATTTTGTAAATTTTCCAATGTTTTTGGTATGTTTATGAATATTTAAAATTATTAACAAACCTTAATATCATGAACTAGTTGGGTATTAGAGATGATGGGATGGTTGCTGTAGCTGCCACGTTGGAACCTGTTATTCCACCATCGAGGAACCAGTATATCAATGGCATCAGGAATATTGGGTCCAAACATTTCCCTGAGCACCTCCATAGCTTCTCTCAAGGTGTCTTCATCGGCTTGAGCTTCCACACGATTAGATTCCCCATTTGTCAATGTGACGGACAAGATATTAGATCCAGGGTATGTGTTCTCCATTTGCTGTTGATAAAGAAGTGGATCAGATAGCTCTACAAGGTTTTGACAATATAAGAGAAAAAGACTAACGTCCAACATTTGTTGCAAAGCAATCTGATTCAATTATTATCAAGGTCCTCGAAGTTATTATATTAAAAGTCGATGGCTAACTCCTCTACAATTAAGTCAGTTGGTGAAGTTTTGATACTTAACTGTAAAAGTCCGAATTTAGTTGTACCATATTTCAACCCTTTCTCTCCTTATCCTCTCTACTTCCTACAAGAAAATCATGTCAGTGTTGTTTGTCGTCTAGACTTTAAAACTCACGTTTCAGTCGTGAAAAATCAAAATTATTGAAATTAATTTCTCAAATATTGATCCATGTTTGACTTATATAACAAAACCAAACACTCAATACCGGTATTGAAAAGAAATGTCTGCTGAAATTATATGATACTTTCGAAGGTTAATTTTCTTTCCATTGGAAGATTGATTTTTTTTTATGGAAATATTATTTTTATAATTTGAAACACAATGTCTATTTGAACTAGTTTTTTCATAAATTGTTGATGAATAAATAAATAAATAATTAATTTAACTTTTTCTTCGATTAAAATTAATTTATATACAATTTAAAATAAAAATCCGATAAATTATATAACAAAGCTATTACAAAAAAAGGATCAAATTTACAAAAAAAGCTTATCATTTTTTTTATGAAAGTTCTACTTTATAATTTGAAATATAGAATTTGTTTAGACCAGTTTTTCATAAATTTTTATAATAAGAAAGGAATTTGACTTTAAAATTAAAATTAGTTTATAAATTAGAAATGAAAAAATTAGAAAAATTATATGATTTTTTTTTACAAATTAATTCATGTATAAATCAATTTTAGTTTGATTTTTTTTTTTCTCATGTGAGATCTAGTTAACAAGAATTTCCATCCTCAATTTATCCCATTTTTTCGGAAAGAAAATCAATCATTGATGGTAAGTTATTCCCATTACGAAACTTGTTCGGATAGCACCAAATAATATTGCACACACATATCTAGAAGTATAATGAATCGCTTGACAGTAACAAGGATAAAAAAAACTATTATATCCGTCCTATCTCTACAAGTATGTGATTAATATTTTCAACAACAATGGGAGTTGTTGCATCAAAAGTGTTTTATTAAGACGAGCACTTTTAAAGGTCAAAATTACTTGGATAAACAAAATTAAAAGGACACCTTGGGTAAATCAGGGAAGGGATCAGCAACACTATCTCTCCATATCAGACAAAAAGATACGTACGCTTACATTGGATCCTAGTGTTAGTTAAGAGGATATTACTTAAATTTCACGTAATCAAAATTGTGTGCCGGAATGAATTAGATATTTTAATTGCCATGTTTTCGTTATTCACATTATTTCCCAACTTGAAGTATATATGACGCATGCAATGCAACATGCGAGAATTTTATTCCTAANACCACTTGTACAGTGTGTATTCTACGAGCAACACACTTTATGTTGGGTAAATAATGTAGAAAAACTTATGATTGGTTGAATAGTTACTTCTCTGTGTGTGCATGGCAACAGTGCAGAAGTGGATTTGAGGCTGGAATTGGCATCATATTGTTGTTTTTTCTGTACAAATACAAGTATATAATAGTTAACTAATCGTATGGTACATGCAGGGCAAAAAGGTTATTGTCCTTTCCAACCTGAAGCCAAGAAATATGCGTGGTGTCAAGTCCTGCGGAATGCTGATGGCGGCTTCTGATGCAAAGCATGAGAATGTTGAACTTCTGTTCCCTCCTGAGGAAGCAGCTCCTGGTGAAAGAATATGGTTTGGAACTGAAGATGAAAAAGATAATCAACCTGCTGCTGCCACTCCGAATCAGGTAATAGCTCTTTCTTAATAACAATTATTAATATGACTGCCTAGTTGAATAAGGAAGTTCTGGAATTTAGATGATCTATATGTTTTATAAATAAGGCCAAGTGACATTTTAAACCAGTCAGTTTTGTAGTTATATGGGATAAAATATAGTTAATGTGTGTAATTATAATTGTCTCAGGCACAAGGTTTTCATTACAGCTATGGACTGAAAAAACCATAGTTCAGGTGGTATTTTTCAATGAAGTATAGTAGACTCTTGAACTAAACCACTTTAATTATATATGTTAAGATAAACACACTTTAATGAGTAGGGAAAAAGTTTATTGGTTAAATACAGTGTAGGGAAGAAGTTCAGCACCTGAACTTAGAAAATTGAAGACTTATTTATCTGCGGAAGAATTAGAGAACTTAGAAGCATAATGTTAGTTATTTTTCTCATAAGTAATTTCAAGAGAAATGCTGGTTGATGGTTTGTGTCCATCCTGTCTCTTTTTTTTCCTATCTGGGTCTTATTCTTCTTCTTCTTCTTCTGTGACAACGCACAGATACAAAAGAAAAAGATATGGGAATTGGTGCAACCTCATCTCAAGACAGATGTTTCTTGCATTGCGATGCTAGGGGAGCATGTCATGCGTACATCTGTAGGTTCAGTAGCATGCCAGTCCTTGCAGAATGCAAATATCTCCTGATCAGCCAACACCTATCAGTACGCAATTGTTCTGCTTAACAATGAATTTTTTGGTTTATAAATTGTTGTTTATTTTATATGTACTTCATTTTCTTTAATAGTTCTAGTTTATATTTTAGCATTTTCACTTGGACATAATTATTTCAAATACAGTAGTTTTAAGCAATACTAATAATAAATATCAGTTGTTTTTTGGGGGGCTAATTTCTTGAGGGTCACAAGCAAATTTGTCGGCCAATTTGTAAGTACTAGGATAGGTGAGTAACTTCCTATTAAACGTAATTTAGCTAGTTCGAAATAACCTAGGCTTTAAAGGGAGGACTGATCTGTTTTTGTTTGATCCAGACCCACCTCCAGGTCATGATGATTCTCATTATTCACGCTTCATTCATCTTCGTCTAATGAAAGGGATTTTCTGCAGGTCGATGTAATCATAATTTGGCTTCTGCTATCCGAAGCTTGCCCCTGGGATATAATTGTCTGGGAATATTGCATTCGGTCAATACTAGCAGGGGCTTAAAATAATGGAGTTTGTCTCTTTCTCATTTCTTCCAGTAGCTCTTTGCTAGAATCAATACCTGTCATGCATTCACGTCCACAAGTAGGACCTTTACGTCATTGCCACTAAAGTTACCAATAATCTGTTTAGGGAAGCAAACTTACACAAGTTAATGCTCACCTGCGAGGTATGCACCATNGCGGAATACCACACCCCATCTTCCCCTTCTCTCCAACGCCACGCGCTTCCGTTCCAAGTTCCCGTTTTTCACCCTCTCATCGTCGCAAAACTCATTTGGGTCTCCTTCATTTCGAACACTCTCTTCTTCTTCCATTGATGAAGCAGTAACCACCGAAGCCATCACGGGGAATGCAAGTGGTGAAGCTGAGAGCAGTATTAGGGACTCCGCGGGGCTGCTTGACATAAGGGTTGGACGCATTCTGAGGGCATGGAAACACGATGAAGCTGATTCCCTGTATGTTGAAGAGGTTGATATCGGTGAGCCTGAACCCAGAATCATATGCAGTGGCCTTGTCAAGTACATCCCTATTGAACACCTTCAGGTATTGATGATTTGTAGTCAATTTTGATGTGGGTTTTGATTTGGAATATTTAATCCTTGAGTTTTAGTCTTTCTCTGCTGAAAAACACTGTACAAAGTATCACCGATCTCAATTTTTTGTGGAATTTAAGCATATTCAGACATATTCTGTATGTTGATATTCTTAGTATTAGCTTAAGGTTTATACTATCTTGCAGCTAGCTTTCCTACATGTGTGAGGGAGCAACGAAGTGTAAACACCCTAAAAAGGTTGTTGCATTTGGGCATGTATCCTTTCTAGATACCCCTCAAACAACCATTTAATACCCTAATCTGCATCCTATCATTCTTTTACTTGAAAAAAAGAAGCATCAATGTTTTTATGTTAATTTAATGTGTATTTTTTCTGTTAACTTTATATACGTATGTCGTATCCTATAATTGGAATTACCGTATTTATCGCATCCTTGTTTTATCATATTCATGTATTATGCTGTATCCATATCCATGGTTCCTAGGTCGGGGGCTTCCACAAGAGTAGAGAGGGAAATTATACTAGGATAATATTTTTTTAGATGATTTTGACATAATGAGATTTGTTAAAGGGAAGTATATTTGTGTGGAAGCAAATTATTTGAATGATTGTATAAAATTTTAGACTGACATATGTCACTACAGAATTAGTTCAGATTATCCTCTCTTGATAGTTAGTTAATGTGGTTTCAACTTTCAAATCAAAACTTCTATTCATTTGGATAATCCTTGTAGTGGAAGAAACAGTGATTTCTATTGACTGCTCTCTGTGCACCAATTGTACAGTGTGTATTCTACGAGCAACACACTTTATGTTGGGTAAATAATGTAGAAAAACTTATGATTGGTTGAATAGTTACTTCTCTGTGTGTGCATGGCAACAGTGCAGAAGTGGATTTGAGGCTGGAATTGGCATCATATTGTTGTTTTTTCTGTACAAATACAAGTATATAATAGTTAACTAATCGTATGGTACATGCAGGGCAAAAAGGTTATTGTCCTTTCCAACCTGAAGCCAAGAAATATGCGTGGTGTCAAGTCCTGCGGAATGCTGATGGCGGCTTCTGATGCAAAGCATGAGAATGTTGAACTTCTGTTCCCTCCTGAGGAAGCAGCTCCTGGTGAAAGAATATGGTTTGGAACTGAAGATGAAAAAGATAATCAACCTGCTGCTGCCACTCCGAATCAGGTAATAGCTCTTTCTTAATAACAATTATTAATATGACTGCCTAGTTGAATAAGGAAGTTCTGGAATTTAGATGATCTATATGTTTTATAAATAAGGCCAAGTGACATTTTAAACCAGTCAGTTTTGTAGTTATATGGGATAAAATATAGTTAATGTGTGTAATTATAATTGTCTCAGGCACAAGGTTTTCATTACAGCTATGGACTGAAAAAACCATAGTTCAGGTGGTATTTTTCAATGAAGTATAGTAGACTCTTGAACTAAACCACTTTAATTATATATGTTAAGATAAACACACTTTAATGAGTAGGGAAAAAGTTTATTGGTTAAATACAGTGTAGGGAAGAAGTTCAGCACCTGAACTTAGAAAATTGAAGACTTATTTATCTGCGGAAGAATTAGAGAACTTAGAAGCATAATGTTAGTTATTTTTCTCATAAGTAATTTCAAGAGAAATGCTGGTTGATGGTTTGTGTCCATCCTGTCTCTTTTTTTTCCTATCTGGGTCTTATTCTTCTTCTTCTTCTTCTGTGACAACGCACAGATACAAAAGAAAAAGATATGGGAATTGGTGCAACCTCATCTCAAGACAGATGTTTCTTGCATTGCGATGCTAGGGGAGCATGTCATGCGTACATCTGTAGGTTCAGTAGCATGCCAGTCCTTGCAGAATGCAAATATCTCCTGATCAGCCAACACCTATCAGTACGCAATTGTTCTGCTTAACAATGAATTTTTTGGTTTATAAATTGTTGTTTATTTTATATGTACTTCATTTTCTTTAATAGTTCTAGTTTATATTTTAGCATTTTCACTTGGACATAATTATTTCAAATACAGTAGTTTTAAGCAATACTAATAATAAATATCAGTTGTTTTTTGGGGGGCTAATTTCTTGAGGGTCACAAGCAAATTTGTCGGCCAATTTGTAAGTACTAGGATAGGTGAGTAACTTCCTATTAAACGTAATTTAGCTAGTTCGAAATAACCTAGGCTTTAAAGGGAGGACTGATCTGTTTTTGTTTGATCCAGACCCACCTCCAGGTCATGATGATTCTCATTATTCACGCTTCATTCATCTTCGTCTAATGAAAGGGATTTTCTGCAGGTCGATGTAATCATAATTTGGCTTCTGCTATCCGAAGCTTGCCCCTGGGATATAATTGTCTGGGAATATTGCATTCGGTCAATACTAGCAGGGGCTTAAAATAATGGAGTTTGTCTCTTTCTCATTTCTTCCAGTAGCTCTTTGCTAGAATCAATACCTGTCATGCATTCACGTCCACAAGTAGGACCTTTACGTCATTGCCACTAAAGTTACCAATAATCTGTTTAGGGAAGCAAACTTACACAAGTTAATGCTCACCTGCGAGGTATGCACCATGCACGTAGCCACTAAATCTGTCACTCGTGTGTTCTCCAGTAAAGAAAATGCGACCTACTGGAGCCTGAATCATAACCCCAAAAATTAAACACAACGGAAAATGATTTTGAAAATATAAATATTTCCTGTAGGAATGAACACGACTAAATGTTACAGAACATATCAAGGGGCACAAAAGAAAACCAAAATACAGGCCAGCAGTCCGTCCCAATAGGAGAAAAACACAATAGGTAATATTGGAACACCAAATTCAAAACTTAAAATGTGGTTACTAGTGTAGTTTTTCGTGATTGATTATTGCAATTTGGTAACATATTCATACGACCAGTAGGTTATCAGAAGAAAAAGATACAGAAAAAATGGTCACTTTACAATTGGATGTTTAGTAATTCTAGAACATGCTTCAGGAAGGAAAACTACGTATGTTGCTCTACTCCCTGCCCTGCTCGCTCTTTTTTTACCCTTTGTTTGGGAGGTATTTCGCAAGTGAAATCCTAGAATAATTCACAGAAAAATAAATGCTCTAGAATTTTATTTTTTGTGTCCGCTTTAACACTTCGTTAAGCTAATACGGTAAACTTTCGCATTTGTATTAAATACGATTTTCGCAGTAGTTAAAAGCAAAGTCAAGAAATACGACTTCTTTCACGTGTTTTCAAGTCTGACTTTAGCTATGTAGATGAGTATTTTAAAATCTAGCAATTTCAGTAATTTTCGTAACAGTCAATTTTGTAAATTTTCCAATGTTTTTGGTATGTTTATGAATATTTAAAATTATTAACAAACCTTAATATCATGAACTAGTTGGGTATTAGAGATGATGGGATGGTTGCTGTAGCTGCCACGTTGGAACCTGTTATTCCACCATCGAGGAACCAGTATATCAATGGCATCAGGAATATTGGGTCCAAACATTTCCCTGAGCACCTCCATAGCTTCTCTCAAGGTGTCTTCATCGGCTTGAGCTTCCACACGATTAGATTCCCCATTTGTCAATGTGACGGACAAGATATTAGATCCAGGGTATGTGTTCTCCATTTGCTGTTGATAAAGAAGTGGATCAGATAGCTCTACAAGGTTTTGACAATATAAGAGAAAAAGACTAACGTCCAACATTTGTTGCAAAGCAATCTGATTCAATTATTATCAAGGTCCTCGAAGTTATTATATTAAAAGTCGATGGCTAACTCCTCTACAATTAAGTCAGTTGGTGAAGTTTTGATACTTAACTGTAAAAGTCCGAATTTAGTTGTACCATATTTCAACCCTTTCTCTCCTTATCCTCTCTACTTCCTACAAGAAAATCATGTCAGTGTTGTTTGTCGTCTAGACTTTAAAACTCACGTTTCAGTCGTGAAAAATCAAAATTATTGAAATTAATTTCTCAAATATTGATCCATGTTTGACTTATATAACAAAACCAAACACTCAATACCGGTATTGAAAAGAAATGTCTGCTGAAATTATATGATACTTTCGAAGGTTAATTTTCTTTCCATTGGAAGATTGATTTTTTTTTATGGAAATATTATTTTTATAATTTGAAACACAATGTCTATTTGAACTAGTTTTTTCATAAATTGTTGATGAATAAATAAATAAATAATTAATTTAACTTTTTCTTCGATTAAAATTAATTTATATACAATTTAAAATAAAAATCCGATAAATTATATAACAAAGCTATTACAAAAAAAGGATCAAATTTACAAAAAAAGCTTATCATTTTTTTTATGAAAGTTCTACTTTATAATTTGAAATATAGAATTTGTTTAGACCAGTTTTTCATAAATTTTTATAATAAGAAAGGAATTTGACTTTAAAATTAAAATTAGTTTATAAATTAGAAATGAAAAAATTAGAAAAATTATATGATTTTTTTTTACAAATTAATTCATGTATAAATCAATTTTAGTTTGATTTTTTTTTTTCTCATGTGAGATCTAGTTAACAAGAATTTCCATCCTCAATTTATCCCATTTTTTCGGAAAGAAAATCAATCATTGATGGTAAGTTATTCCCATTACGAAACTTGTTCGGATAGCACCAAATAATATTGCACACACATATCTAGAAGTATAATGAATCGCTTGACAGTAACAAGGATAAAAAAAACTATTATATCCGTCCTATCTCTACAAGTATGTGATTAATATTTTCAACAACAATGGGAGTTGTTGCATCAAAAGTGTTTTATTAAGACGAGCACTTTTAAAGGTCAAAATTACTTGGATAAACAAAATTAAAAGGACACCTTGGGTAAATCAGGGAAGGGATCAGCAACACTATCTCTCCATATCAGACAAAAAGATACGTACGCTTACATTGGATCCTAGTGTTAGTTAAGAGGATATTACTTAAATTTCACGTAATCAAAATTGTGTGCCGGAATGAATTAGATATTTTAATTGCCATGTTTTCGTTATTCACATTATTTCCCAACTTGAAGTATATATGACGCATGCAATGCAACATGCGAGAATTTTATTCCTAACATATAGCAGTATAGTATAAATACAGCAAGAACACACAAAAACTTCGAACAAACCTGCCAAAATGTGTAGTAGCCTCTCCGATCGTGAGCATAGATGAAGAATTCCTTTCCGGGTCCAGTTGGCCAGAACTGATATGGAAACTTCAAGAAAATTTTCGTGTACACCATTATCTCACATTTCTGTATGGCTTCCAATTTCCATCCCTGAGTAATTAATGAATTTATCATGGACGTGTCGAATCAGACAAATATTACTTAGTTAAACCAACAAATATTAAAATCATTGAAGGGAAAGTTTGACGACTAATCTCGTCTGGGAGTAGGAACCAGACATAGTGTCTCAATTCATCTGTTTTAGTTATGTAATGGCATCATGTAAAGCTTAAAAAGCTAATTGTTATTTTTTCGAAATCTAAAATAATTAGACCTAAAATATATTTTTTTTAGATTTTTTTTAGACTTACAATTAGTATTGAATTTCTTTTGGAATATTTTTTTAAATAAGAACTTTACCTACTTGGATTTTGAGCCAGTCCTACTTATTACCTACTTATATTATAGATATCTCTTTTTATTATTAAGTATTTGAGAGTTTTGTTTTCAAATAAATTTTCTCCTATTTCTCCTAGAGATTTCGCACCAAAAAAAACCATATACTCTATCTCTAATATCCTTACCAAATTATAGTGAGAACNACTTACACAAGTTAATGCTCACCTGCGAGGTATGCACCATGCACGTAGCCACTAAATCTGTCACTCGTGTGTTCTCCAGTAAAGAAAATGCGACCTACTGGAGCCTGAATCATAACCCCAAAAATTAAACACAACGGAAAATGATTTTGAAAATATAAATATTTCCTGTAGGAATGAACACGACTAAATGTTACAGAACATATCAAGAGGCACAAAAGAAAACCAAAATACAGGCCAGCAGTCCGTCCCAATAGGAGAAAAACACAATAGGTAATATTGGAACACCAAATTCAAAACTTAAAATGTGGTTACTAGTGTAGTTTTACGTGATTGATTATTGCAATTTGGTAACATATTCATACGACCAGTAGGTTATCAGAAGAAAAAGATACAGAAAAAATGGTCACTTTACAATTGGATGTTTAGTAATTCTAGAACATGCTTCAGGAAGGAAAACTACGTATGTTGCTCTACTCCCTGCCCTGCTCGCTCTTTTTTTACCCTTTGTTTGGGAGGTATTTCGCAAGTGAAATCCTAGAATAATTCACAGAAAAATAAATGCTCTAGAATTTTATTTTTTGTGTCCGCTTTAACACTTCGTTAAGCAAATACAGTAAACTTTCGCATTTGTATTAAATACGATTTTCGCAGTAGTTAAAAGCAAAGTCAAGAAATAAGACTTCTTTCACGTGTTTTCAAGTCAGACTTTAGCTATGTAGATGAGTATTTTAAAATCTAGCAATTTCAGTAATTTTCGTAACAGTCAATTTTGTAAATTTTCCAATGTTTTTGGTATGTTTATGAATATTTAAAATTATTAACAAACCTTAATATCATGAACTAGTTGGGTATTAGAGATGATGGGATGGTTGCTGTAGCTGCCACGTTGGAACCTGTTATTCCACCATCGAGGAACCAGTATATCAATGGCATCAGGAATATTGGGTCCAAACATTTCCCTGAGCACCTCCATAGCTTCTCTCAAGGTGTCTTCATCGGCTTGAGCTTCCACACGATTAGATTCCCCATTTGTCAATGTGACGGACAAGATATTAGATCCAGGGTATGTGTTCTCCATTTGCTGTTGATAAAGAAGTGGATCAGATAGCTCTACAAGGTTTTGACAATATAAGAGAAAAAGACTAACGTCCAACATTTGTTGCAAAGCAATCTGATTCAATTATTATCAAGGTCCTCGAAGTTATTATATTAAAAGTCGATGGCTAACTCCTCTACAATTAAGTCAGTTGGTGAAGTTTTGATACTTAACTGTAAAAGTCCGAATTTAGTTGTACCATATTTCAACCCTTTCTCTCCTTATCCTCTCTACTTCCTACAAGAAAATCATGTCAGTGTTGTTTGTCGTCTAGACTTTAAAACTCAAGTTTCAGTCGTGAAAAATCAAAATTATTGAAATTAATTTCTCAAATATTGATCCATGTTTGACTTATATAACAAAACCAAACACTCAATACCGGTATTGAAAAGAAATGTCTGCTGAAATTATATGATACTTTCGAAGGTTAATTTTCTTTCCATTGGAAGATTGATTTTTTTTTATGGAAATATTATTTTTATAATTTGAAACACAATGTCTATTTGAACTAGTTTTTTCATAAATTGTTGATGAATAAATAAATAAATAATTAATTTAACTTTTTCTTCGATTAAAATTAATTTATATACAATTTAAAATAAAAATCCGATAAATTATATAACAAAGCTATTACAAAAAAAGGATCAAATTTACAAAAAAAGCTTATCATTTTTTTTATGAAAGTTCTACTTTATAATTTGAAATATAGAATTTGTTTAGACCAGTTTTTTCATAAATTTTTATAATAAGAAAGGAATTTAACTTTAAAATTAAAATTAGTTTATAAATTAGAAATGAAAAAATTAGAAAAATTATATGATTTTTTTTTACAAATTAATTCATGTATAAATCAATTTTAGTTTGATTTTTTTTTTTCTCATGTGAGATCTAGTTAACAAGAATTTCCATCCTCAATTTATCCCATTTTTTCGGAAAGAAAATCAATCATTGATGGTAAGTTATTCCCATTACGAAACTTGTTCGGATAGCACCAAATAATATTGCACACACATATCTAGAAGTATAATGAATCGCTTGACAGTAACAAGGATAAAAAAAACTATTATATCCGTCCTATCTCTACAAGTATGTGATTAATATTTTCAACAACAATGGGAGTTGTTGCATCAAAAGTGTTTTATTAAGACGAGCACTTTTAAAGGTCAAAATTACTTGGATAAACAAAATTAAAAGGACACCTTGGGTAAATCAGGGAAGGGATCAGCAACACTATCTCTCCATATCAGACAAAAAGATACGTACGCTTACATTGGATCCTAGTGTTAGTTAAGAGGATATTACTTAAATTTCACGTAATCAAAATTGTGTGCCGGAATGAATTAGATATTTTAATTGCCATGTTTTCGTTATTCACATTATTTCCCAACTTGAAGTATATATGACGCATGCAATGCAACATGCGAGAATTTTATTCCTAACATATAGCAGTATAGTATAAATACAGCAAGAACACACAAAAACTTCGAACAAACCTGCCAAAATGTGTAGTAGCCTCTCCGATCGTGAGCATAGATGAAGAATTCCTTTCCGGGTCCAGTTGGCCAGAACTGATATGGAAACTTCAAGAAAATTTTCGTGTACACCATTATCTCACATTTCTGTATGGCTTCCAATTTCCATCCCTGAGTAATTAATGAATTTATCATGGACGTGTCGAATCAGACAAATATTACTTAGTTAAACCAACAAATATTAAAATCATTGAAGGGAAAGTTTGACGACTAATCTCGTCTGGGAGTAGGAACCAGACATAGTGTCTCAATTCATCTGTTTTAGTTATGTAATGGCATCATGTAAAGCTTAAAAAGCTAATTGTTATTTTTTCGAAATCTAAAATAATTAGACCTAAAATATATTTTTTTTAGATTTTTTTTAGACTTACAATTAGTATTGAATTTCTTTTGGAATATTTTTTTAAATAAGAACTTTACCTACTTGGATTTTGAGCCAGTCCTACTTATTACCTACTTATATTATAGATATCTCTTTTTATTATTAAGTATTTGAGAGTTTTGTTTTCAAATAAATTTTCTCCTATTTCTCCTAGAGATTTCGCACCAAAAAAAACCATATACTCTATCTCTAATATCCTTACCAAATTATAGTGAGAACACTAAGTATTACTGATCTTTAACTACAACTAATTAATTATAAGGTTGTAAGGTTGTATCAATGGACAAAAAAGACAGAACACGAAACTAAGAGAACAACATCAACAATAATAATAATATATTATAATAAAATTTTATAAATAAGATATACAAAAATGTTTAACCTATTATAATATATATAATTGTTTTCATAAATAAGATTATAACTATCAAAAACATTTCATTAACATCCATAATTTCTTAATATCTTTTTTCCTATATTTGTCGTGTTACTTACTATACTTACACTTTTCTCTATATCACCCTAAAATCTTAATTAATACCATAGTTTTCACGTATCATTTTCCAATAACTTTTTTATATAAGTTACAGGGAGCCATAAGTTTATATAACGCTAATGTGCATAAATGATATTAATGAAAGAATGAAAAGAATATTATATTTTTAATTTAAGTTAGTGGTCATTATTAGATCAAGTGTGACACCTTTCCTCGAATAAAAGATAAAACATTATTAAAGACTATAAAGAACAAGATGTGTAAAAGGTTTAGCCCATGCAACAAAATAACTATCTGTTCTCAATATCAAAATCCACGACAACGTATGCAAGCAGCAAGCTGGCTACACAGTGACTCATTCAAGAGGTTGACTATTAATAAATCAACGTTTTAATCTTGAAAGAAAATTATCTCCTAAGGCTAGGATGACAACTAGATAGACTGTTATTTTGAATTACAGAGAATTGAATAAAAAAACATCAATTCATATTGTGGTCCATAAAAAATTAACTACAATTTGATCAACTCCTATTTATTTAATAAAAATTTAGTTCAATTAATCTACCAGCAACTCTTTTGAAGATGGATTTCTGATCCACTCATACAATATTTTATTTTAAAAAAAATAAATAGTTTTCAATAATATTTTCTTAAAATAATTTAAATATATATAAAAATAAAGTTTTTAAAATAAATTAGTTATGAAAAATTGGTTGAAATTAATTTTAATCTATTAAACATTAATAAAATATCAACTGAATTTCAGGAAATAATAGATGAATCATTTATATCTATAACAAATAAATAAATGAATTTTATCTCATTAATGTTTTTTATATTTTTGTAATAGATAGATTTAATGAATATATTTAAAAATATTGGATAAATAATTTGTCATATCGCATAATCTGTAGAGCTCGGTATAATATAAGACCTAGTCAACTATGCTTTTAATGCTAAACTCCAACTTATGTAATGGCATTAGAACATGAGGCTACAATCTAAATAGCTTTAAACACAAATATCAACTGAATTTCAGGAAATAATAGATGAATCATTTTTATCTATAACAAATAAATAAATGAATTTTATCTCATTAATGTTTTTTATATTTTTGTAATAGATAGATTTAATGAATGTATTTAAAAATATTGGATAGTTAATTTGTCTTATCGCATAATTCAACTGAAGAGCTCGGTATAATATAAGACCTAATCAACTATGCTTTTAATGTTAAACTCCAACTTATGTAATGGCATTAGAACATGAGGCTACAATCTAAACAGCTTTAAACACAACAAAACAGATTGGAATTTAAGTAGCATCTCCAACTACGGGACTAAAAATTGTTCTTAAAAATATTTGTATGAATCCTATATTGCCACTTGGAACTTTATCATTTTTATTGTGAGTGTTAAGAACTCTTTTGAAGTTCCAATCGTCTTTCCTTTCTCTTTTTCACTTCTCTCATAATTTTTCCTTTCCCAAATTTTCAGTCTTTGATGAGAACATCTAGCATGAAATTTTTTTAATCTATTCCAACCACCTCAACAAGAACCCAATAAATCCGATTTAATTTTATTGTATAAAATGAGATATTATTATTACTATTCATAGAATAAACTTAATAAGACTTACTAAAATAAACTCAAAAAGTGTATCAATCTTAAAAACCTATAAAACATACTAAAAAAAATTATAATTTAAATTGAATTGGATATTTTTATCTAGTCTGTTCAGTTTGTGGTCTAAACGAGTTTAGACCAAAATATCTAGTAGGTGTATGTTTTATGAATTGATAAGCATCTTTGAAAACTTAAAAGAGTTTTGTTTTTTAAAACACGTGTATTATAATTTACATTTATTTATATATCAAAAAGCTATACTTAAAATTCAAATTTAAATTTAATAATGACTTAAATTATACAAATTGTTCCGATAGGGTTTGGAAGTCCCCTGCTAAAACACTTTTAGTTGTACTGAAGACTGGATGGGTGTTGAAGACTGGATGGGTGTTGAAGACCGGACGGACACCTATCAAAGGCACTCCAACGTTCAAGTCAGTAAAATGATCGAACAGTTGGCACCGCAAATAATGCGTGTGGTGTGTATAATAAGCAGCCTCGTCCAAAAATCATATATGGAACTCTTATTTATACTGGTTGTAATCTTAATGACAGCCCAATCATACCTTAATCTTCATTAGGGGCTTAATGAGTCATTACCTAGGTGAACGATAATGGAAAAACATCCTGGGAGGACGTTAACTTGACATGAATTAATTTTAGTTGAAAAAACAAGTACAATCCATTTAAAAAATAATCAAATCAATTGAATATATAATTTTTGAAATAGTTTACCATACCTAACCCATCCAACTTAATTAATAACCCTAACCTATCATATCGTTTAATTCATTCAAGAAAACCACTGGATAAATTCGGGATCTCCACGAAATATCCAACTACATATGAATTCCACATCATTTTTTTAAGATCTTATTTTATTGTATCATTTTTAAAATTTTCTTACAAATTTTACTTAAATAATTTTTTTTATAAGACTTGCGTTTTAATCAAAATAATATTTTATTTATTAATTAATATTTTAAAGTTGAAAATATTTTATTTTATTTTTATGATGCATAGTCTTATTTAAATTTTAAAGTATTTTGTCTATCATACTGCAACATTTCAATTAAAATGTTTTATATAAAAGTTAAATCTTAAATTTATGAACATCAAGGGAGATGTTTGAATACTTAATGAAATCTTAAACTGTAGAAGGCAGAAAGAAAAGAAGATACAGAAAGTATTGAGGATATACGTAGACAAGAGAAGAAGACATACGGGCAAGAGTGGCTTAAAGGCAACGAGGTCGCTTTGGAGAACACCAATGCTGACAGACACAATTACGTAGTTAGCTTCGTAAACGCAACCATCCTCTGTTATCACCCTAACGCCACTTCCCCAATGCAGTATTTCACGAACCACCTGCACTGGACAACATCCGTGCTAAGAGCCGAGACAAAACAAATTATTTAACTTTTATATAGACTTTTCATACCGATGGTTATTGTTAATATAACTTGTTATTGACGTGTGTTTAAGTGTATTGATTAAGAATGATAGACCATTTTTTATCAGAAATTACAATAAAATTACATTAATAGGAACTTTTTATATAAAAATATTTACTTTTTAATTACTTTTACATGGCCCTTTTATTTCTTATCAACTAAAATGAGGGCAAAGCAGTAAAATATCAAGAGATTATGGCAAGCAAGCCTAAAACTCACCTAAGAATTCGTTGTTTCTTATCTTTCAGTTTAGGTTATTATTTAGACGCTCCTCAATTTTTCTACGCCTATAAAAACACCTATTAAAAGTCAATATTTATATTTTTATAAGTATCTTTCTCTAAATTATTGTATATTTTAAAATAAAAATATTATTTGATTGTTTCGTTGGAAACTTTTGGCGAATCAAGGATGCTGAGTAGGA